TGATGTTTTTAAGCCAAAAAAAACTTAGAGTAAATATCAACACACATACGTACAATATAAAAACCATCAATCGATTGAAATAACATAGAAAAAAATGATATAAGGCAAAGTTCAATGGATGACTGTATACCTAAAAAAGTTAGCAAACCTAGAAACCCAACAAAAAGTCTAAACTCGAAAAAATAAAATAAAACTAAAAAAAACAACCTAAACCTAATTATCTAAGCTTAAGCATGCTTACCACAAATTGATGGAATCATCAAAACAATAAAAAATAGAAGATTAAATGCAAAAACAACAAGCAAGAACCATAAGGATAACAACCAAAAAAAGCTTCTCCCTATGCATAGATCATAAATATTGTCTTAAAACTTAAACAACATGTCTATAATTTCAACAAACCCAGCAGACTAACATAAAACAAACTAAACCACAACAATATCAAAACCTAAAACATATTGTCATAACTTCAAACAAGATTAAACTAACATCAAATCATGCAAAAACAACATTCTATATTAACATTTGTCATTTCATAATCATATTCTAATACATTAAAACAAGGTAATAAACAAAACTTGAGTACATAAAAGCTATATTCAAAACATTTTTAAACATTTCAAAACAATAAGCATGGCCTTCAAAGTAATAAATGACTTCAGATGATGCAAACTTTGTAAACAATAATTTAAAAACACAAAAAAAAAGGTAAGGGAGTGTGCTTATTGAGCTTCATCTCTTTACCAAAGTTTGAAGGTTTACCTAGCAATGAGAAAGTTGATTCGTTCTCTAGATTCTTTACTTCTTTCCTCTTGATTTTTAGTTTCCTTTATATCTCAGATTGACCTAAATTCCTCTCCTTTCATTTTGAAACACAATATTTGTTACCTTTTTTTCTTTTTTATTCGAAGTATTCTAATATATATATATATTTCCTTCTTTTTTTCTCTTAATGATTTTTTCTGTAATTGTTTCAGATCCCCTACTGGTGTGCTCAAGAATAACCTTTTATAAGTTAAACAAAACCATAGATGGCAAAACCATGGTGGTTTTTCCAATAGTTTGTTAAAGAAGATTCTTGCTCATTCTCTACCCTAACCTCTTTAAAAAGGTGCATTCTGATTCTTTTTATTTTTTTTGTAAGCTCAAACTTGTTGAGAGAAGATAACCATAAAGTTTAAACAAGCATGGTGATTTTCTTTTTCAATCATGGTTGACCAAGTGAGCTACATTGGAGAGATCATCGTAACAAAATGTATGTAAGCATGGGATATGAGTAATTGATTCTTGTAGAGTAAATATATATCTACCATGAGGGTCAAATATCATCTGATTTGGAGATCCGAAATTTCACATTTATTGATTAGAAAGTGAGATCTCAATCAGCTTAAAACTGTAAAATACAAGAAAATTTGATTAGGGATAAGATGTTTTCAAGTTCATTGAGCTAAAGCCAGTATAAACATATGAGGAGGATCTGTTATCCTTATAGAGGATGTGTTTCCTAGCCCATTAGTGGTGGTTTAAGCCTCTATGATGGTAAAAAATATCATGATTATTTGCTTAAAGATAGCAACCTGATCATCCCTTTTGGTTGTAAAAGATGACAAACAAGGACTAAACGATGTATCACTCGTTCTTTTTTTTAAAGATGAGTGACACGTCATTTAGATTAAACCATAGGAATTAGGGTTTTTTAATTGAGATTTTACAAACTTCAATTAGGTCCCTATTGTTTTAATTCTAGCTTATGCACTCTCAATTGATTCTAAAACTTTTTAATTTTTGTCATCGCATCCTTAAAAACTTTCATTTGATTCCTTTGATTTGAGCTCTTTTTTTAAACTAGTCCTTGGTTTTTAATTTGTTTAATTTGACCCTTATCAGTTATCAAACTTTTTATTTCTTTCAAATAGACTCCTGATTTGATTGATTTTGGTTCTCGAACTTACATGCCTTTTTTCATTTTCATCCTTGGTTTTGAGATTCTTCAATTTGACTCTTAATTGACCCTTGAACTTTTGTTTTCTTGAAATTTCACCTTGATTTTATCCAATTAAGCTTGTAAAAATTAAATTTGGTCTTCTAAAATTTTAATCTTATTAATTAAGCATTCAAACTTAAATTTTCACCAATTAAGTCCTTAATAAAATTAATTTGTCCTATTTAAATTCTAATTAAGTCCTTGCACTTAATTAATTCTTTTAATTTTGTCCTAAATTAATTTATAAACTTGATTAAAACTTTAGTTAGAAATATAATTAAATCAAATCAGCCTCTTAAAAATCTAGTTAAGTCCTTAGACTTACTTTTTATACAAAGTCTTCCAAATTTTCAAGTTAAACTTGAATTTTCACTAGTTTTCACATTTAGGTCCTTCAATGGTGCAATCAAGTTTCTAGAAAAGTTTCAAGATCCAATTTGGTCCTTCCATCTCTCATTTATGCATGTAGATTATTCTCCAACCTATTCTTACCAATGAAGTTGTTTATCTTATTGCATCTTTTTATTTTTCAACCTTTTTCTTTTTCTTATTTTTATTTAAAAAAAAAAGATAATTTTAGATGAACCTAAAATTAGGTTATTACAATGTCTACCTCTTAAGGCATTGGCTCTTGATAATAAGTGCAAAAAATATAAGCTTATTTTTATTTTTCATCCCTTAACTAGTTTTGTATGAAACCTTAATTCATACACTTTCTTAATTTCTATACCCTTAAAATTATTTATAACTCTAATTTCTAACTTTGTTGGGCAATTGATACAACATCAATCTTTGAAATCTTTTTCTAATGTTTAGATCTAGCTTATATGAACCTATTTAAATATTCTTTAATAAACTCCCTAAAGTATTATTTAAATTTCATTAAATCTATTATCTTGAACTAGAGTTTAGTTTTTGAAAAGTGAGCTTGGAAAATTACTTGCATTTCTTTCAAAGTATGTATTAAATTAGGTGACAAGTTAATATACCAAGAAAATGCCCTTAGTCAAAGAATTAAGGAACAACCTAATTTCTAAATAATCACAATCTGCAACCTATTTATTCTAGGAAATGAAGTTTACAATGTGATCACTGGTAGTGAAATGCCCTTGTCCATTAAACAAAGTACAGGAATTTAAAAAATGCATGATATGGAAACTCCTATCTATATATTTTAAATATGGTCTATTATAAGTTGGTTCATGTACTTGTTGTACTTTAAAACCATAGACTTTCTCCAATATACCTAAAATATATTTTGAATCTAATGATGAAGTGATTTGGTTTCTTCCTAACTCTACCGATGCCCATTTCCATTTTCCAACCTAATTTATCCATTTTATCTTTTCACTATTATAACTAGAGCTTGCCTAATCACTTTGTGATTCCATTGGTTTCCTATATTAGGAGTTTGTTCGTTGCACGATTTGAATCATATAGAGGATTTCTACGTTAGGAGCATTGTATTATATCTTTCAACATCTCAATAAGCATCAATATATAACTTTTTATTTGGTTTTTCCTTATTAGGTTGCCTTATAACCCTTTATAGTTTATTATCCAATCTGGTTCCATACTTTCACAACCATTTATTTTGGGGTTTTGTACACTACCTTTCCCATTATATGTCTAAATTATGTTATAACTAAATCAACCTTTTTTTTTAACTATAGCTTCTAAATAAGAATTGCATATCCATCAAGGTTCTATTCAACCCCATGTTTATTTCCCTATCGAAAGCCTGCAACATAGCTAGTTCATGCTTAATCTCTTTTACTATATTCTATCACTCTTTAATTTTAGGCTCTAATATTGTATGAGTGGTTTGACTATTGGCCAACATTAAGTCTCAATAATGATTTTCAATAAGTTTCATTCATTTTGTATTACTTTTTATCTATTTAGTTATGACATGAAATTTTATCTCAATTAAAGCATAGGTGTCACAACCCAAAAAATCATAAATATTTGAAAGTGTAAAATTTTATGCTGTGTAATTTTTTTTTTTACTAAAAATTTCGTAGACCATGCCAAGTTATTGAAATCTTCATTCCTGACACAACTCATATCATAATCATGGTCCAATTATCTTGGACCTCTTTCCTAAGAAACGATACAAAAAAAAAAAAAACAAGTAGTGTCCGAAAATAAGATGCAAACAATAATTAAAAACAAAACAAAATAAATAATTTTAAGGTTTACTTAACTTATATAATAAAAAAACTTAGATTATGAATGCAACACCCCCATTATTTTATCATTCCAATATTTCTAATCATATGAACAACCATGATAGAATACAAATACTTAATAAAGATATTCTTAAGTACGGTATACATATTAATTACATATAAAAGTTTTGTTATACAAATATAAATGTTCATTCAAACTTTTTACATCATTCATAATTCTCAAAATACATGTTGATCAAAATAAATACAAAAAAACTAGCATATATTCAAGCATGATCTATTCTACTATTGCAAGGATCCTAAAAATAAGATTAAATTTTTTATTTTTATTGCTATTGCAAGGATCCTAAAAATAAGATTAATTTTTTTATTTTTATTGAATAATAATAATAATATTCATATAATGGATACACATATGGATAGTCAAATCTTGCTAGATAGTTTATAAATATCTCAATTTTTTATCAAATAAGTAATGAAAAAAATATAGATATTAATAAATCTAACCTATGGATAATGGATATGGCATGGATATCAAGAAATGCAATACTCATTATCATCCTTACCTGCACATGTGGTTATGTTCATAATTTTTAAATTCCAGCTATTTTTATAAATTATAAATAAAAATATAATTTTATGTATTTCGACACGAATTTTTTTTTGAAAAACAACTACAACCATACTAACAAACAGGCCCGAAGCTATATAAATTATCATTGAGCATTCATTAAGCAATCAGAAATAAGAAAATATCAAACACTTTTAATAACATTTTTTAATATATATATATATAAATAAATAAACCAGCAACAACAACAATAAGGCACTCACACTCGTTGGTTATTCTTTCAAGTTCCTTATTTCTTGAAATGAATAACATTCCATCCATTCAATATTAAGCTACAAAGCCAAAGGAAGTTTAAACTCTAAACCTTCAAGAGTTGTAACTTGGTCAGAAAAGCAATAGCAATCCAATCCATCTCCACAGGAGACCAGCGCACATTATTGATCCCACCCACCGATCCATACCACATTTCAGGTTCCGTCTGGCCAGTAATGTTTTCTGGTCCGTTTCCAGCCTTACTGACCACATCCCATATCAAAGCCCTTGAATCATCACCTACAGAGCATATCTTTCGTCCTGTACATGGAGCCCAGGATATAGAATTTACACTTGCCCTATGCCTGCTAAGCTCCATTAAAGGAGTTGAAGGAAAGCGAATGTCCAAAATTACAACCTTGTTACTGTTCATGCCAACTGTGGCTATAAATCTCGGGTCACTTTTGTTCCACTCTAGCCTTAACAAAGAACAATCTTGCATTGGATTCTCATAAATAATTGTTGATCTCTCTTTTTTCCTTAGATCGAAAACCCTAACTGAACCATCACCTGATACTGATGCGAAAATATTGAACCAACCCCATGAAATATCATTCACTTCTTTATCATGTGCAACTAACTGAGTATATACAGTTTCCTTCTCTATCTCCCAAATAACAATGGTGGAGTCAACACTCGAAGTGACCACACGATGAACATCAAAATCAGCCCAATCAAATGATGTTATGGCAGAGTTGAATTCACTACACTTATTGCCATTTAGGAGAGACTTCAACTCAATTCGGTCATCGTGAATTTGCCATATGCGCATGTAGTCCCCGGAGGTGATGATGACATCAGGATTTGCAACATCCTCGGAGGGGAAGAACATCAGGTTTGTGGGTGAATAAGGGTGATCGAATATTAGGCGGCTATCGGTGGTGAAATCAGAAGTGTCGCTGTTGAATTGAACAATTTCCACCTTGTTGCTATAGTCTTCAAGGAAACTTCCTATGGCGAGACGTGATTTTTTGTCACGGCGGGCAGACCAGGCTAGTGAATATATAGGCCATTGAGGTACATAAGTGCAGATGACTGGTGCTTTCTGTGACGAGCTTTCCATGGTTGCTTTGATCGATTATTGACAGGTGCACACAAGAATGCTCTCCGGTCCTTTATCTCTGCATGATATTAGAATAAATAAATAGGAAAATCAGGTTCTAAATTTTAAAAAACCATGAATTTATTTTCCAACTTATTTCCGTTGAAATCACTTTAAAAATCTTAATAAACCATTTATAACTTCAAAAAGTATATAATCTTTTTCGAAAATGAAAATTAAACGAAATTTAAAAATAGTTTAAGGATGTCAATCTATTTTTTTATTAAAAATATAAACAACCTTTATTGAGTTTATATATTAAAGATGAATCTATAAATACTAAAATTAAAGCTAGTGGTATTCAAAATCTAATCATTTAAGAGTTTTCTCTCTCCTCAAAACTTTCAACAACTTTCTTTATCCTCTCTTATGATTTATAAACTAAAATGGAAAATAAATAAAGTTTAGAACCTAAAAAAACCTACAACAAGAGGGATGAATCATAAAAAAATTTAAACATGATGGCTAAATTACAGTTTTTTGTATCTTTTTTGGCAAAGGGCCCTATTTCCTTTTTAATATCAATTTTAATCCTTTATTTTTTTTTCATTTGTTTGTTTAAAATATGTTAAAACTCAATCTTGTAAAATTAGGTATTAATTTAATGCTGAAATATTTAACAACATGGAAGGAAAATAAAATAAAAATAAATTGAAAAATATATAAGTACATGAAACAATGAAAAAAAATAGAACTTAAAAAGACTGAATTGGAAAAAGAACTTAATTTGATGAAATAGACAACAAAAGAATTTCGAGGGACATGTATTGAAAAACAAATAATTATGAACAATGAAGTAAATAGGAAAATATGAGAAGGTGAATAGAAGATGCACAGTTAAAAGCCTAGCTATCTTAGTATATAGTTAACTAGTCATTTGACTCGTATGGTGTTGTGGGTTAGATTTTTTTTTAATAAAACAACATTTTCTTTGTGTTTTTTAACATAAAAAGTCTCAATCGAAATCATAAAGTTCATGTATATGTTTAATTAAAACCAAGAACTATTTATACGATAAAAAAATTATGAAAATCAATTTTTAACTACTCAGAGTTAACTAATCAAACTTGTGATCTAGGTCATGGACTTAATTTGACTAAACAATTTTTTTCAATAAATTTTTTATATCAAATAAACATCTATAAAATTAAGAGCCAACCAAATACCAAGGCAACATAATAAAAATATCAAGCCTAAATAAATTACATTGCTCAATTAATAATCATCAAAATATTAAAAGATAAATTAAAAAAAAATAAGAAAAATTAATTGAAAGATAAAATTAAAAAAATTAAGCAAAATATTATGTTGTGGGTCAAATCATTTTTTTAGCATAAAAAATGTCTAGGTGTTACTAATGTGTTTTCTAGTAGAAAACAATTTAAACTGTATAGAGGTTGACCCGATTAACTTGACAAATCCAAATAAAACCCTAACAACCATTAAAATCATAGTTCCACCAAAACAATTCAAGACAACATCTTTTAAAAATAAGTATTGAAATGAAAACATATTGGATCGACTCGGGTTAACCAGTCAAATCTGCAACCCAGATCATGAGATTGAGATAAACTTATAAGAAACTAATCAACAATAAATGTGAAACTCAATTCTCAATTAAACTAATATTGAAGGATGAAATTAAAAAAAAAAGATCAAAAAACAAACATGAAAACATATTGGATCGACTCGGGTTAACCAGTCAAATCTGCAACCCAGATCATGAGATTGAGATAAACTTATAAGAAACTAATCAACAATAAATGTGAAACTCAATTCTCAATTAAACTATTGAAGGATGAAATTAAAAAAAAAAAAAGATCAAAAAACAAACGACTCGAGTTAATCTGTTAAAGTTGTAACTTGGATCATGTGACTAAGATAAATTCATAGATAAAAAATCAAAATAAATTATAAAGCTCAATTCTTAATCAATCTAATTTAAAAGATAAAATTGAAAAAAAAAATCAATTAAAAAATATTAAAAAAAAGACGCAAGTCAACCTAGATTAACTGACCAAACCTGTGATCCAAATAAAATTGTGATAACCTTATAGAAAAAAATAAAAATAAAAACATAAAGCCTAATTTCAAATTAACCAAATATTAAAGGATGAAATTAAGAAAAAAAATCAACTTAATAAAAGATAAAAAAAAACTCAAAAAAATAATGATGAAATTAAAAAAAATTAAAAAAATGACTCGAGTTATCCTAGGTTAACTCGTCAAATTTGTGACCCAAATAATGAGTTCGCGATAACTTTATAGAAAGCAAAAAAAAAAAAAATGAAGCCTAATCCTAAATTAACCAAATGTTGAGGGATGAAAATGAGAAAAAGAATCAACTAAAAAATAACATAAAAAACTCGAGTTAACTCTCCAAATCCACGATCCAAGTCATGAGACCGATATAATCAAACTCAATATTGATGGATAAAATTGAAAAGAAAAAAAAGTTAAATCTTAACAAAAAAAACAAAGCACTTTCAAGTGAACAATGCTTTGTGAGAAAGGGAACATTGAATTCCCCTTCTCAATTAATTTATGTTAGATCGTTGATCCACATTATATCACAGGTCAAATTAATTTTTTTCTTAACATGTAAAAAAAAATTCAAGTATTACTAAAAATTTTCTAGTAAAATAATAAAACTAAATTGTGTGAAGGTTGACACGATGTAATTTGATCGACTTGATGGGTGTAAAGGCAACTCGAACGACCAGTAAAAACATAGTTTGATTGATAAAAATTCATGGCAATATTTTTTTTCAAAAATGATATTGAAATTAAAAAATATTGGATCGATTCGAACCAACTTATGTTAACATGTCAAATCCATGACTTGGATCATGAAACCATGATAACCCTATATAAAGCAAATCAAAATAAATTATGAAACTCAATATTAAAGAATGAAATTGAAAAAAAAAATTAAAAAATAACAAAAATACTTAACCTGAGTTAACCAGTCAAACTTGTGACCTAGGTCATAAGATCAGGATAATCTCATAGAAAATAAAAAAAAAATAACATGAGTCAACCTGAGATAACTTGTCAAACTCATAACCAAGGTCCTAAGATTATGATAACCCCATAGAAATAAAATCAAAACAAGATATGAAACTAAATTTTCAATAAACTCGTTATTGAAAGTTAAAATTGAAAAAAAAATCAATCTAAAAACAGGACATAATAAAATAACTTAAATCTACTCGGGTTAACCAACAAAACTCATGACATAAGTTATAAGACAGAGATAACCTCATAAAAAGCAAACCAAAATAAATTATGATGCCTAACTCATAATTAAATTATGACATCTAATTCATAATCAACTCATTGTTAAATGACAAAATTAAAAAAATACCCAAAAAAGAAAAAACAAACCTTAAGTAGTATGGGTTAACTCTCCAAACCCACGATCTGAGTCATGAAACCGAGATAACCTTATGGAAAGTCAACAAAAATAAATCATGAAATCTAATTTCTAATCAACCCAATCTTTAAGGATAAAATTAAAAAAATATATATATCAATTAAAAAAAGATTAAAAAAATTCGAACTAACCCATTAAATCCATGACACAAGTTGTGAGACTGAGCTTACCATAAAGAGTGAAATTAATAGTGTTTTATATGATGGTACAAAGTAAAAGCACAACCTCTTTAAATGTATACTATAACTTTTACACATATAGTTGTCAAATACTTAGAGAAGTAAACTAACTAGGTATATAAGCTTTAGTTTTTGTTAGGGGGACTAGAAATACCGTATACAGTTTCTTTTCCCCAGGTTTTTGAAATATAAAAGAATTAGTATCCAAGAGCATGAACACACGTGCTAATGAGTTTCTTGTTTTAGTTATAAAGTAAAGGCTGAAGCTTATGATTTTTAAAGAAAGTGGGGAAATTTTAAGTTGTAAAAAAGAGGTTCAAACTTAAAATATCTTTTAAAAGAGGAGAGAAAAAAAAGCAATCATAGGAGTTAAACTATTTTATAAAATATATAAAAAAATTAAACTTATCAAAAATCCAAAAATTCCAAATTTTAAAGGCCAACATAAAAGTTGATGATAATACTCAACTGTAACAAATCAAATTCTCAATCGTTTGATTTTTTCCAACATGGCTGGATTTTTCTCAAGCCTAGTTTGCTAGCTTAAATAGTTGGAATTTCAACCTGAGATTGACACTAACCTTAGCCTGCCCGATCTTGTTTTAGCACAACCTTCTATACAGTTTTTTTAGGTTTTTAGAAGTAATGCACTTAAATTTTCATACATATAATTTTTTTCTACATATAATTTTTTTTATGCAGGGTAGATACTTTTTTTTGTACTATTGACACCATTTATGCAGAGTAAATACCTTTAGCCACCATAATTAGCTAAAGGTAGCATACCAATTTCTCTACCAATAATATGTCTCTTTCTCCATGAAGAAATTTTAATGATTGGATATATAAATACACTTTATCACCAGGAAAAATCCAAATTTGATCCTTAGTTAGAGCTCAACTTAGCCTTAAAAGCCTCGCAACATACATTCACATTCTAGACCATAAAAGCTAGTTATAAAAGCCAATCATGTCATTATAGGTGATAAAAAGGAGCCATATCATTTTAAGCCTAGGCCATAGACTCTTTCTCTTCATAAAATCATTTCTCTTGTATTTATTTTTATACATGCTACATTCCTCTTACATTTATTGACTTAAGCATCCAAGGGCTTAATGTTTCAACAAGAGACTTGTTTTGTAGGAAAGCTCGTAGATATAGTCAAACCTCATCACACCAATTTATTAGTACTTAAAAGTGCATTTTTATCAAGGTTTTATATCATCATTTTGCACTTGAAGTATCAATAACTCCTTAACTAAAACATGTTTTATAATAATGTATCTAATAATATAACATACCTATAATTTATGGTAAATGTCTATTTTTAATGCAGGTCTATCACATAAATGAAAGGATTGATTGATGACTTGAAGAACTTAAATTGCAAGGATAAAGAGATGGCCAAACTTAGAAAAGAGATGTCGGTGCAATCCAAACCGGAACACTGTTCGGTAATTGGGTCATATCTAGAGCTATATATCTCAGATTTAGGTCCAATTTATATGGATGGAAAGGTAAGACATAGGCCTACAACTTTCATATGGAGCCCAAGATCTAAAAAGGCCATTATCAAGTCCAAATTGGATCAAGATCATGCTCTTACTTTCTCTCTTTGTATTTTTTGTAATGTTTATGCTTTGATTTTCTTAATATCAAGTTTATGTCTTTAAATTCCTTTGCTTTGCTTTAACTCTTATCTTATTTATATTCTTATTTTGTTTATCGATTTTGCTTTCTTTCATTATGTCTAGCTAAGTTAATTATGTCAAGGTGAAAAGGTTACACTAATGGTGTAAGAATAAGTATAGTGTAAACTTAATATGGACGTTAATGTTTGATACTAACATGTTTTGTATTTGTTATCTTGTTCACTCTTTAATACTTTGCTTGTTAAATGACTAATCTTGATTTATGTTATATAACACTTGGTACAACAAATGCTTGGCACTTTCATAGCCCATAATGTATGGTATAACCGACACCTGAGCTATGAAAGGAACTATTGTTGTTGTTATCATTACTATTATTGTTGTTTATAATTGTTGTCTATAATTTGTACAATTAACCTCTCTGTGGTTCGACCCCGGTTTTGCCGGGTTATTTATTACTTCGACACTCCTGCACTTGGAAGAAGATATCAATTTTTTCGTCGTGTCACCAATAAGAGACTTGTTTTATAGAAAATCTAATTTCTTTATTAAACTTTTCAAAACTTTATCAATGGCTTTGTTTATAGAAAAACCTAAACAAAATCTAGCTTATTCCTTTTCATTCCTTACAAAAGAATGATGCTACGAAAAAAAAAATCTCTTTATAACCTTTTGTAAATTTACTAGGATGTGGTGTCACAACCTTAAACCTTGCTCCATCCCTAGCCTTCATAATCTCTCATCTCTTATTTTAGTATTATTGTTCCATCTAAAAAATGCATGATTGATCTTTTTTCCATCTCCTAACGAGAAGAGATCACTGATTCAACAAAAATTTAATTTTTATGTTAAGTTTTTTCAAGACTTCATTACTTCAGATTAAAAAAATGAAAAGCAGTGTAAAAGTTAAAATCTAATAAAAATGTTTAAAATTAACAGAACGCATTTTTTTTTAATACTACAAGACACTTACTAATAAAACATCAATGGAAAACGTATTATTATTTTAATTTATGGTTTTAGATGGAATTGTTTACATAAATTATTATTTTTAATTTCAAATTTTCATTAGATATAATTAAAAATAAAAAGAAATAACTTCACTTAAAAAATAATTAAGAGGTATCTATAAATTAGATTTCATCCAAAATTAAAAGTTCCTCCAAATATTTCCCTAGCATTTGTTTACGTATGAAAAATAATTATCAAAAGAATATATATTCCAGTGAGTATTCAAATTTTTTACCACAAATTGATTAAACTAATTTGAAAGTGTAGTTGTTGTTGCTTTTCAAAGTGTTTTTCACTCAGAAAAGTGTGCTCATAATATTTTTTTATTTTTTAAAAATTATTTTTGAGATCAGCATATCAAAATGATTTGTAAACATCAAAAAAATATTAATTCAAAGCAAAAAAAGAATTCAAATTTTTTCTGAAGCGTTTTTCAAACGCAGTCCTAAACACCCTCTAAAAAGAAAATTCTTTTGAAAATAAGGATTATATGGAATAGTCATTCAGAATTTTTTCCCCGAACTTAAAGTTTCCTTAAATATTTCTCTTTCATTACTAAAAATATTTTTCCTATTATTCTCTAATTCATCTCATTATTTTCTTCCTATTCTATTTCTCCTCCTGCTTTTGATTCTTTATATCTCATAATCAAAACCTCCATCCTCCCACATCAATAACATTCTCTTATTAAAAAAGTAGTGCTTTTCTATTTTTATGTATCTCATTATAATATTTTTATCATTATTGTGTTTAGATATTGTGGTTGATGATTTTATTGATGTTGTTATTAATTATTATATAGTTTGTAAGAATGGGTTTGATGATGATAAAAGATATAGTAGGTTTATGATTTTTTTTTAATTTTTAATTTTATGATTTCATTTGATATTTTGGATCTGTATTAATAAGATGAATTTGTGTGATTGGTTATTTTATTTTGTTTTTACAAAATATAATTTAAATAATTATAATACACATAAATTTGTATAAGTGTATGTATGTATACGTGTGTAATTTATTTTCAAATTATCAATGGGATTTGAAATGCATTTTTCAAAATAATATTTTTTATGTAAAACCATACCTTTTTTTAATATGAATATGTTAAATCATATCTTTTTAATATACTTTCACATGAATGAAACAAAGAGAAAAAAAATGCATTAATTCATTCATCTACTTCAATATATAGCAAAAATTTTCTCCCCATGACAACCTCTTAGTATAGGACACTTAAAATGAGAAAAAGTTTGCTTCACTAATAAAAATAAAAGAAAAAAAATCATTATCCCAATTTATTTAAGAGCTTCATTTTGAACACATATTTCATTAATATATTTTTGTGATTTAGCATATTGACGAACCAAGAGTTTTATAAATAATGGGCATGGCATCCTTAATCTTTTAAAAATTTTCTAAGTATAAACTTTTGATATCTTTTATCTAAAAGAATTTATTTTAGTCCATATAAATATTTTTCTATATTTTTTTCCCACTTACACCGCCTTTATATATGACCAAAACTCATTACTTTACCTAAACTGAGAAATTAACTAAAGTCTTCGTGTATTATATCACAAACATTGGAAGATATTGATGAATCAAAATTGTTTTAATATGTTTTTATATATATTTTTCAAAAAATATCAGATCAAGAAAAATATATAAATATAATTTTCCTGCATTCTTGGGCGCGTTGAGCTGTCATACTCTATCACCAAACATGCTTCTATTAAGGCATGCTGGGTTTGGTACTAGACATACTCAAAAGTTGTTCGGTCTAGCTAAAACCAAAGCCAAAAGATGTTAGGTTTAAAGTTGGTCATACCTAAATGTCACTAAGTCTTGTACTTACCAGAATCACATATCACCTGGGTCTAGCATATGTCAAACTCAAGCATTATTTGGTTATAGTGTTTGTTAGACTATTGGACGTGGTAAATGCTATCAAGCCTACTAGCTTGGTTTGACGCACTGTCAAACCAACAAAGTGGGCCTTTCATGCGTTATTCAAGAGCGTCGAGCAGTAAGGTTTTTGTTATCACACCCTAATATATTGCTAAATTCGCTACATCAATGAAACCACAAACTTTTATATAACAAAAGAAACCACAAACTTTGTTTAAAATATTTTAAAGGAAACACTAGTTTTAATTTTAAGATGCAAAGTTTTTTTTTTTGAAAAAAAAACAAATTATAACAAAGTTAATCTACAAGAAAGAGAGGGTGTTTCTCACTAAATATTTCAAAAAAAAAAAAACAAATTATAGCAAAGTGAATCTACAAGAAAGAGAGGGTGTTTCTCACTAAAGATTTCATTTCTGAAATAACATGTGCATGGTTCGTAACCTTGCAAAGCTCTTCTCGACGAAATCAAATAACACGTTAAAGAAGCTAGTAAAGGCAACTATATTACGTGTTCAACTCCCATAAACACTAAAATGAAAAATAATATAAATATAGAACTTGTTTGTTATTATCTCCCTTTTATTTATTAAATAGAGCTCAAAACAATTTTCAAACATAAACATACCTGTATCGTGATATCACAAGACTCCCAGCTGGTAGCAAGAGATAGAGAGAAACTTACAGTGACCAAAGAGATCCAAGAGCTGACCAAAGAGACCCAGGACCACCGCCGACTGGCCCCTGCAAAGGGAGGAGTGAGGAGGTTTGTGGTTTTTGGACAGATGCTAGGAAATGGGCAGCTGTTGAGACAATAAATAGCATAAAATGCAACGTATTATTCAGTACCTGTGTTTTTGGCAAAAAAACGAGTTGGTCCTTTTAATTTAAAAGGCCTAATCCATTTATAACTTGTCCTTCCGTTAATAAGTTGTTTATTTGTCACCAATTTATTTTTATTTTTTTTTTCGAAATTCTCTTCTGACTATACGTTAATGGAAAGAAACTAGGGATTGTTTGGTCATTTTCTAAAAACTAACGAAGGTATAAGGAACTAGTAATTATAAGCAGTCAAGAATAGAGGGACTGAGTAATCATATGTCTAAGAATAGAGGGACTAAATTATTATTTACTCAGATATGATTCCAATTTAGAATTTTAGATGGGAAGGTGAGGTAAAGCTAACGGTCAAGTACTTGCGTGGGAAAAGCAGATATGGGATGATCACTTTACTTCGTAGTCAGCCTTTGACTATCTACTCTTTTTCTTTGTTTTTTTTCATTTCTTTCATTTCTTTTACGTTTTGCTGCACACATAATTCCATTTTAAATTTTAATTTGTTAAAAACTAAAATAATTTATTTTTTATTTATAAAAAATTATTCTTTTATTTATTTTACATGTAAAATAACTTGTTTTTTATTCATAATCAATACATTATTAAAAAATAAAAAATTTAATTATAAAAAAATATAAAAATAACTCGAATTAACTTAAATTAATAAATCAAACTCTATAAAACTTTAAAGAAATAAATTAAAATAAATTATAAAATATAATTTTTAATTATTTAATATTAAATAATAAATTTAGAAACTCTGAGTTCAATTCATGAAATTAAAATAATTTTATTAAAAATAAATTTAAAAAATTATAAAATTTAATTTTTAATAAATTTAACACAGAAAATATAATTAAAAAAAAAGTGCAAATTCAAGAGCTCGACAGCTCACGGAATGTGCCTGTCGATAGTAAAAGAAGACTCTGTAGACGCGTAGGTGGGTGCAGATGGATTTGATGAAGAAAGCTACAGCTTCAAGTGACCTTCTTTAACTCAGCAGCAAACAAAAAAAAAAACAAAGGTACAAGAAGACAAGATCTGTTGAAATGTCAAAGCACATGCAGGCCGTTCTTGATGAGCTCAAAACACATTTGACCCCGTCAAAATTGTACCTTAGCTACTCATTATCCTTAGGAAAAAAAAAAGATCCCGAAGGCTAATGGACATATACGAAAACAACAAGAAAATGGCAGCAGCAAGGGTATTGGACACTAGAACTTTAGAAACTCCAACTCGTCGCCATCCACCCTTTTCTTCTTTGATAATCATTACTTCATCCTTCTTCTATCCATAGTTATATGGTCTTACCTGGTGCAGCTGGGATGACCGAGTCAGAGCTGAGAAAACTAGCAGAGAAAGCACAGGCCAAACTCCTCTGGGTGCTCGAGAAAGCCCCAGCTGACGCCGAGCTCTCATGCGAATTCGGCAACAATCCGAGAACTAGGCTTCCACTCCTTCAAACCCCTTCCCTCACCGAATACCCTCTTTTGTTCTTTTCTTAGAACTTGAACTCTCAGACCATGCACGATGAAGGGAATATTAACGGTTTTGTTATTAACCAGAGCCCTTTTCCCAACCCTAAATTTACCCTAAACCAAACTCTAAACTATTTGATATTAAATTAACCTCCAACCAAACTCCTAATCCTAATCTTCAATCCCTGAAATCTAAACCTCCAATCTCTAACCAAACTAACCTTAACTTTAACCAAAAATTTTAACATTATTTTTGGATAACAATAATATGTGTAATTTTTAAAAGTTGTTTTTATTTGTTAATTATAAAGATAATTGATGTTGACTATAACAAAACATAACAATATGCTTTTTTTAATTTGTAAATGTTTTATTTGAAATTGTAAATAATTTGTTTTTAATGTTCACATGTTTACTTATGTTTACTTGTAAATTAACAATTTAAAACTTTTTTTAAATAAGTATGAAAATTTATAATATATAAGATAATATTAAAATCAACCTAATAATTAATCAAAATAATATTAAAAAAAACACCTCATAACTACAAAAAAAAATCATAACATAATAAGATATTAAGCTAGCTTTATTAATAACATTATTTTTATTTGTCATTTGTTTTTGTTAAGCTGCTCATTTATATTCTAACCTTAATCTTTTATTTTATTTGTCATCTCAATTCTTTCTATTTGTCTCTAATTTATGTTCTTTTTTTTTTTGGTTTTCTTTTTCCCCTTATTTTTATTTTTTGATGTTCTTGATCTTACCTCTTGATGTGTTTCTAAATTTGGTCCCTTTTTTCCCTTGTTTTCCTTTATGTTCCTCCCTGTTTTTCTCATTCTTCATCACTTATTTTGTTTCTTTATTTCAGTCAATGATCCCCCTTCCTCTCTCCTTATTTATTTTTCCCACTCTTTTCATTTTTTCCTTGGATTTTTTTTCCTAACGTTTTTCTTTTGTTTTTTGCTCACCGTCATTTTCTATTTTATCCTTCTAACTCTCACTTAATCTTTTTTTTTTTTGTATAAATATGTGAAAAAGCTAAAATTCTTAAAAAAATATATAAAATGGCAAATCTTTTCAAAATTGAAGAATTTTCAAGAGATATGCACTTTTTTTGTGATTTTTAAATTTTTTTAGAAATATTTGAAAATACAGTTTGTCAAAATTAAGTTATAAAAATATTCTTAAAAATAACATTATAATATAGTACCAATAGTAAAATGTAAATTCAACCCCCACTTTAAATTAAAAGAAGAAGAAGATAAATATGAATAAATTAAAAAATAATTAATTTCTAATAATAAACTATTATTTATAATGAATTCTAAGGCAATAGTTAATCTTTTTTATTTTCTTCTTTATCCTAAATCACATATAAATTAAGGGACTTAAGTCTATCTTAAAATATGTAATATTATATTGGTAGCTTATTAATGTGAAACTTATAGATATAAAAATCTTTAAATCTACAGTCAAATCATCCCTTTTTTAAAAAGTTAGATTTAGGTTTGTGATTAAATTTGATATGATGATAATCTATAATGAGACATCAAAACTATAAAAATCAAACCCTCCATCAACACACATAAAAAGATGTGAACAAATAGTATGGAAAATACCACGAAACTTTGTTAATTATTTGATAAGTTATAGTAGTCGATGAAGAATTTATTTAAAAGAATTTCCTCTCACAAACATAATAAATTATTCTGAAATCAAAGTTTGTATCCATAAAACTTAAATACAAGCTAAATAACCCTACTTATAATAGATAAAAATATCTTAAACAAGCTTAATAAAATAATAAAAGAGTTCTAAATAAAAAAAAAATCTTAAATCAACTAGGAAACTAATATAATTCCCTCATAGTAGCTTTTGTAACTTATTGAAAGGCTTTTCTGATGTCCGATCTCTATCAAATTTCAACCATATAAAAAAAGGCCTTTTCAATTTTGTAGAAAAATTTCATATTGATATAATGATTAAATAAAAAATTATACTTGTTATTGTAAAATTACGTATTATAAAAAATAAAGCCTCTAAAGCAGATGGATCAGACCCCTCATATACATTAATTAAATTGACTAAAGTCTGATCATCACTTGTTAAAAAGTAATCTTCTTAAAATTCACATTGGCTCAAATACTCTAAATAAGCCTATTGAATGCATTTTTTTAGCTTTTTTCCCTTGATCATGTAATTGACCCAACTAGAACTTCTAATGGATTACATCATCCCCTCTCCTCTCAAAACGATTTTACCTCGAATCATTGCCTACATCAAATAAAGAGAGATAAAAAAAATATTAAAAGTAGCAATTGCACCATATTCATCTAGTATATTCATATTGTAGGCATTGTCTTTAATTCTTTCAAAGATTTGGAATGCATCATCTTCTTTTAGCATAAACTTAGATCTCCTCTATTTAGAAAATCTCTTTTTACGCACATATATTCAAACTCAATCACCTAGTTCAAAGATATTGCCTTGAATACATATTGTTTTTTTTTTTGTATTTCTCGTCATATACTCCCATAAGTAGCATTTATTATTTGTGTCTTTTTATTGCCATTAAGACTAACTCTTTCATCAAAAAATAATGAAATTAAATTCAAAGGATTTAAAGGATTAAAGCTATAAGAAATTACAAAGAGAGAATAATTAGTGGTAGAATGTTCACCCTTATTATATACAAATTCAACAAATAACAGACAATCTTTCTAAGTCTTCATATTCTTTTGAATGATAGTTCTTAAAAATATAGTTAAAGTCATATTAACTACTTTAGTTTGACTATATGTTTGTGGATGACAAGTAGTAAAAAATAAAAGAATTTATTACTAACTTACCCTGCAAAACCTTCTAAAAACAACCATGAAATTGAGCATTATTATTAGAAACAATGCTTTTAAGAATGACATGAAGCCAAACTATCTTCTCCAAGAATAAGTTTGTTATAATTGCATCATCAGTTTTATGAAAAAATATAAAATATACCATATTAGAAAACCTTTTTACAACTACAAAAATATAATCCCTGTCACTTTTTGACCTAGGCAAACCTAAAATACAATCCATAGATATATAAACCTAAGGTTCTTTAGGTGCTATTAAAAAAATATACAAACCATGAGATAGAACTTTAAACATAGCTTGTCTACATGTTATGCACCTATTATGAATTCATTTGAAACACTTTTTTATCTTAGGCCAATAAAAGTGATCGTGTAAAACATCTAAAATCTTAATAACCCCAAAATGTCCTATTAAATTATCTTATGAGCTTTACAAACAAGCATTTCACATATAGGACAATTAGGCACACGATATTTTTTCTTTACACAAATAACTCTTAATCTTATAAAAATTATTAAATGTCAAAATAAAGTGCTAATGTAAAACATTTAAAGTTTTAACAACCCAAAATGTTTCATTAAATTGACTTCATAAGCTTCACGAATAAGCAATTTACTCATAGAACAATTAGACACATACAATATTTTTTATTCAAGCAAATAACCATCAAAATTATAAAAAAAATTTAAATGCCA